CTTACCAGTTGAAATCACTTCTACCATTCTTAGGGGCTACCTGCAGTTGTGGTTAGCATACAGCTAATCCAGAAAGGGTTGGCAAAAGGGGTTGAATTCCGAGCCCCCCCCCCCCTCCGAGACCTGCGAACGTCTCTGAGGTCACTGGATCTCCCCAAACCTTCACTGTCTCTTCAGGACAGCTAGGATCGAAAACGACCAGTCCAATTCCTCCGGAATAGGGGAATTTCAAGAATGGCCTGAAACTCCGTCTTCTCACTGCTAAGCCCCGCCTTCTTCCACCCATACTGATAAAGTATTTCTTACATAATGTCTTAGAAAATGATTACGTATCTTGTTTTTCCCATACACAAAAACACATGCCAAATTAGTTGTAAATCATGTCTCTCCAATGTCAATAACTTTGTTTTCTTCAGTACAACCCATTCTTTCATCCATGACAGTGCTGTTGCTGGTAATATAATTCCCAGTTTGATAGTCCAAACCCTCCTCTAATACTTGCATCTTGTAACATTTTTATGTTATTTCTCGCTTTTTTCTCTTGCCATATGAATTTCATTATTATTTTATTAAGCGTTTCAAAATACTTTTTCTCTAGCTTTGTTGGTATCATTTGAAATAAAAACAACAGTCTTAGTAATATGTTCATCTTAATTGTTGCTATTCTGCTCATTAATGATAGTTGTAGATTTTTCCATCTCTCCAAATCTATCTCAATTTGTCTTTTCAGTTTATAATAATAGTCTTCTTTAATTGTAATACATCTTGCTGTTAGTTGAATTCCTAAATATTTTACATTTTTAGTTTCTGTTTCTCTGTAATGTTTTTCGCCAATAATTTTGTTTTCTTTATTTATTTTGTGTCCTACTTCTCCATATTCTTCTTTGTTCTACTAATTTTGGCCCAGTTTCTTGCAGTTCTTCCAAGATGAACACTAAATCGTCTGCAAATGTCTGTAATTTATATTCTTCTTTCTTAATTTTTATCCCTTTTATCTCTTCATTTTGTCTTATATTTCTATTTAACACCTCTAATGTTAACACAAATAATAATGGGGATAGAGGACATTCCTGTCGTGTACCTTTCATAATATTAACCTTGTCTGTCATTTCTCTATTTACCTTTGCGGCTTGTTTGTGGTAAATTGTTTTAATCATATTTATAAATCTCTCCCCAAAATCCATAATCTGTAATTGTGTTATCATAAATTGCCGGTTAACATTATCAAAAGCATCATGTGCATCAAGAATAAGGTGACCAGACATCATGCTTTCAGCGTGACAGGCACGCTTTTCTACAATTTGTCACGTGTCCCACCACATTCGTAAAAAGTCCCGATTTTTTTTTAAATTTTATTTTTACCAATGTAAAGAGGCTGCAAGACCGTGGCAGATAGGGGCCGCCAGCGGGTCTTACTGATTTTCTAGGATACATACAAGTTGCCTACTACATCCTCCATATTCGGGGAGATACCCTAGCTCCCGTGCAGCATGATCACGCCGCAGGTTTTCAAAGCCACACTCTTGATTGGCTCGCAAACATCACGAGAGATGACTTCCGAAGGAGGACAAAAAGCGCTGTAGCTTTGCCTAAAGAATAGCCATCTCTGTAGGAATGAGAATGTCANGCGCGCGCACACACACACACATATATATCGCTTTCTTCTGAGGGGATGAGAGAGATTAACTGGCTCAAAGTCATCCAGCTGGCTGAGCAAGATGGGTTTATAGGATGGCAGCCTTTCTTATATAAAGTGCTTAGTTTTTCATGCATATGTGGCAAGGTCCAGGAGAAGAGCCTTCACTGCCTGCATTTTGCCTACCTTTGGAACATCTTACTCCCTGGAGTGAAGTTGGCACCAACCCTCCTCACCTCCCACAAGAAATCTGCCATTTGGCTTGTGCCTCTTATTGGGGAGGGGTGTCACATTGGGAGTGGTTGATAGATTAATACAGATCCCATCACCTTCCATTCTCATTCTACTCTCTCCCTCCCGATCTTTTAATTAGGGATGAGAATTAGGATCTTTATAATATTTTATTTATATTGTCTATAGGTTTTGTATAGTTTTATCTTCTTAATATTGTAATCTGCCCAGATGTGGTGAGATGGGCAGCCAATGGCCCTCCCATCTTTGAAACTATATTAGTTACCAATGCAGCAACAGGAGTACAGAGGCAACCTTGATTAAAAGATGTAAGAACTTTTAAGAGAAAATAAATGATAATTCAGTCCTGGAAAATGAGAAGACATGGAAAAAAAAAAACCCAAAATAATCTTGTCTTCACGCTGGCTGAGAATACTCTTGGCAGGCTTTCAAGATTCTGTTGTTATATTCTACAACAGTAAAATAGCATTCGTGAAATCCTTTCTCTGTTTCCTGACCTGGCAGACGTATAAAGAAAATGGAAGGAAATTGCATAATCTTCCTTTCATTATAGTCTAAAAAAAATTTCTGTAGAATACCAAACAATACATGGTAATGTTCATGGTAATGTAGCATGGCTTTTCAAGGAAGCTGATCCTATGCATGCATGGATGAAGGCAGATCATATCAACCAAATGCTGCCACCTTAAACCATGTTTAAGAATCACTAAGCTGTGAGAAAGGTGGGTAAAAGAAGCACTGGACTAAAACTGCAATCAATCTAGAATGCACCAAAGATTCCCATCTAACCACATTGTTTTCTGGATAATTCTGATAAGGTGGAGTCAAGAAATATCTGACTTTCCCCATGGATTTTATTATTTAGAAATCAAATTCATAGATTGTCTATCTCACTGTCTAAGTGGTTCTGGGTGGTTTAACAAGTAAAAAAAAAAAAGCAATAATATCCACATAAACAGTCCATACAAAAATAAAACTAAAAATATACGAAGAGCACCCTGCAGTCACCAGCCAATTCCAGGGTTGTGAATCAGTATCAGAGGACTTTCTCTGGAGTAAATTGGCTATTAAGTTGCNTTTCTGCCTAGGAATAAAAGCAGATTTTTTTTCTTGCACAATAGTTTATATAGTTTTAGTTGATAGAAATTCATGATTACATCTTAAATATCAAATGTAAATTAAACATGTATTTAGCGGCTTACACATGATACAAGAGATAAGAAATATTTCACCTCATGTTTTAACTTTTTGATTTCACAGCAAAGAGCAGCATATACAGTGATGACTTTGTTCAGAACCTGGATAAGAGAAAAAAAATGCAGACTACTTTTATAAACAGAATAAAGGAGGGATAAAATGTAGGCATGATATCATCTGTCTCACATACAAACTTTAATACAGAAATAAATACGTTTAATTCAAGATGGACATTTCAACTTTAAGAAGTGGGACTTCCTGAATCCCATCCTTATCTCTTTGTTACATCTTTTAGATTATAAACCTGGGAGCAGAGAATATCTTGCTTATTACTGACTTTCGGCGAGCAGCTCTGGAAATATTTCTAGTGAAAGGCAAAAGATAAAATGATTTAAAACTTATAAACAAAAGACATATCTTGTAAAGCACAAAAAGCAACTGCAATATGTTTGTAATGTTTTTGACACCAAGCAACATACCTTGTTTTCTGTCTTTATGAGTTCAAGTAAGGAAGACTGTTCATAAGGCAAAAGCTAAAATTAAGCAAAAATACAATCAGTTTAAGGGAAAATCAGAGATTTGCAGCATGATTGTTTTAGCTAAATGAAATAGGAAGCTTAATCCAAACTGCAATTACATAGGACAAACCGTGTACTATACTCTGAGAAAACAAGTACCATATCAGAGAGCCAAGAGATCCTTTAAAAATTTCATTCCAAACTTATTAAACAGGTGATGATTGTCACAAGCAAAATAGCAATAGTAGTCAAAATCTTGAAATATAAATATACATTTATATTTTATAAAATATAAATACTGGAATGGGGTGGAAATGTTATACCTTACTTCTAAAACAGGGATGTAAAACTCAAGGCCCGGAGGCAGGATCCAGCCC